CTGCTGAAGCAGGCAGTTCTCATTAGCCTACAAGAGGTACCATCCCTTCAAGGTGTGCACAGAGTGGGTCACAGCTCAGGGGGTCAGCTGGCCTCCAGCCAGCACGGGGCAGCGTTCCATTGCGGGTCATTCAGAGAGAGGCGAATTCATGGTTGTGTAGCCAGTGGTGTAAAAATACAGCTGGGGCAAAGAAATGAGGAATTTCTGGGTGGTCAGTTCACAGCATGCCTCCCAAGATTTCCTAATGCTTATCATTAACTATCTTGCCAGCTTACACTGGAAAGCATTAAAATTGGAAAACCTATTTTACACTCAGAAGTGTGATCACCTGGCTGATGAACTATGATATTCCTGGTACAAATAGCTGCCCCAAAGCCAGCAGGTGTATTGCAGCTGTTGAGTTCAATACAGTTTTCATAGTTTGTGTTAATTAGAAAGCCAGGCTAGCGAGTACAAAGCTCTTGGATATCTAAGGTGTTATGAAAACCTAGCAATAGTGTTTGTTTCAGCCTCTCGTGGAGAATATAAAGATGTATTTCCTTTTGTTGGCCTGTTACTTTTTGCCTTGTGATCCTACTAAGTGTTCTCCACCTGCTGGCTTCAGAAATTATTTTCTTTCCTTTAAATTCTGTCACTTCTACCCTTTGTGGTGCTAAATAACTTGACTGAGACTCTCAACTGTTTTCTTACCCATGCTAATAATTCGTTTATCTGGAACCAGGGGATTCCAGCTGCCCTTTCCAACCCTGTTAACTCATTTTTCACATGAGGTACCTGAAAAAAGACACAGCCCCGCTGATGAGTATGCAGCATTGTCTGATACAAGGCTGTGTTTTTATTATTTTCACCTTTATTGGCTGTTCACATGCGCTTTCCCTGTCTCTTTTGTTGCAGATCCTGCAGGCTCTAGGAAAATCATATCATCCAGGCTGCTTCCGATGCGTGGTCTGCAATGAGTGTCTGGACGGTGTGCCATTCACTGTAGACTCTGAAAACAAAATCTACTGTGTCAGAGATTACCACAAGTAAGGACAAAGTAAACAGCAGAGATGTTCCAATCACCCAGCCTATAATTTAGCTTTTCAGCTAATTAGGAAGTGCAGATTAGTAGAACAGGGACAGGGTTAGAAGCTAGAAGTTTGAGGATGGGGCTAGATCCTAGAAATTCCCGATATCCCTCATTTTGCCCTGCTGTTAACTCTTTGCAACTTCGAGGAAGTCACTTAATTCCTGAGCTTCAGCTGCCCCTTCTGCAAAGCAGAGTTAGTGAGAAATAGTGCTCATGAAGTGGTCAGTGATGTAAGAAGTTAGTCCACTCTAAAGTAAGACTGTGAATGCCTGCTGAAATGACTGTGAGTTGCTTTTTGAGTAGTTGCAGGGCTGAGTTTGACTTTTAAAGAATGCTTTTAGAAATCACCACTGAACGTGTGAAGTGAAACTTTTATCCAGCTTTAAATTAAACAACCAATAAATCCACTTAAAAAATCACTTGTCATTTAGACAGTAAAATAAAATGGCTGTGCTCTTAGCTGGAGGTTATGATATTAATGAGCTGCATACAATTTGAGTGTCCATCTGGCTTGCTTTGCTCCTTGCTCCGTTTTCTGAGCAGGCAGAGTATTAAGTGTTGCTCAGGCAGTGCCTGAAACTGTTCTCTGTTGTGCTGAGATTAGAGTTGCCTCTGTGTGCCACTGTTGTTCTGAAGGGATGTATATTTCCTTGCAATTTAATTTAATTTAGTTATTTATTTATCATGTTACATTGTGTTATAAGGCCTTAAGGAACCATACAGTCTCGTGGTATTTTCTCTGAGGTTTCCTGCCCCGAGGCTGCCACTTCTTTTGTTTTTCTGGGGACGGTCCTGCTCAGTTTCTCATCATTCTCTCTTCCAAATCTTTCAGTAGCAGCCAAGGATTTTACAGTGGGGTTTGGTTTTTTTCTGGCACTAAGTGTAAAATGTAAGATCTCTTTTTGCCTAGTTGAGCAATGTGTGCCAAGCATTACTTCCAATCAATGCTAAAATGAATTCATGATCTCGGGATGCAAAGCTTTCCTGTGGATAAGTTATTTACAGCTGCAGCTTTTCATTTTACCACCAAGAACACACAGGCCTCTCTTTTTATGTTGATCTGTAACCTGCCTTCACTTTCTCATTGCTCTTCCAGAGTTTTAGCTCCAAAGTGTGCAGCATGTGGACTTCCCATTCTGCCCTCCGAGGTGAGAGCCTTTTATTTCGTATCCCCTCTGGGGAGGGAGCATCATGTCTCAGGTCTTGTTCTCTTTCACATTTGACCCTGCGTCAAGACAAATGTCCTTGGGGATGGGGAGAGATGATCGCTTCCTCCAGCGTGCAACCTTTTGACCTAAGCTCATACGCTGCCCTTGAGATGTGACCCTTCTTTTGCTCAATAATGAAGCTTATTTCTGCTGAGCCATGCTGCTTTTTTCATCTCCTGCAGGATTATACTGCTGTTAGTTTCATGTTCAGGATACCTTTCCTTCATACCAATAAATGCTGGTGGTGCTCATGAATGACCTCTGTGTGACCCCTCTGGGACTAACTCATTTTAATACTAGGAGGAGATGCATCTTGGGCAAAACCAATTTAAAATGCTGAGAGCTATGATACAGTGAAATTACCAAAGCATTAATACATGATTTGGGATAGATGTGACTGTTAAACAGAGAGACTGTAATATTTCTGATGTTACATTTTAGAGGTTATCTGCAGTCGATGATGAAGCTTTACTGTAAAAATAACTGCAGGTGGCAGGATTTATTTGTAGCGTCCAACCAGCACTTCAAATGCATTTGTTCAACATTCTCATTATTGCAGGAAGCAATCTACAGAGTGCACATATCTGATCCTGCTGTAATCCTTTGTAATTTCTCTTTTGCTTGAATGCTTACAGGGGTCCGATGAGACCATTCGGGTTGTGTCCATGGACAAGGATTACCACGTGGAATGTTACCACTGTGAGGTAGGTCAGCAGCTTTCTCAGAGAGTGGGCACTTAGTAGTGACAACTACTATTATTTTTAAGGTGGCAATAAATCTCCTCCCTTCCAATGGCAGTAGATGAGCAATTCAAACCTTGCATTGTGCGACCCAGTCCGACCACTGCGACTCAGTGGCTGAGAAATTTCCGTCTTGAAGACAAAAGTTTTTGCAGCAATATGTCTCAGGTGTGATTTCATTTGCTTCCATAAATTTACAGGCAAAGAGTTAATCATCGCTTTTAAACTTGGCAGTTTATTTGTTAATGAAGGAACCGTGGTGACTTAGTAAGGTTCTGTTGCTACCTTTCAGAGCCTTCAGCTCCAGATCACATTAGTGTATCTGATTTCCAAGTCAGATTATTCAAAAATGCTAAGGTGATGACTGATCCTGTCTGGTGTAAGTTACCTTCACTTTCATGTGAAATAAATGCATGGTCAAGGCTGGGGAGAGGATATGGCTGTCTAAAAAATCCCAAGAGGTGCCAGATCTTAAACACCATTTGGTCTCCGTGCAGGACTTCCCAGAGAGCCTTCATACTTCTGCTGTGTGAATTAAAATAACTAGATGTCTTCTCTCACTGTGCTCATAATGTGGTGGAAAGAGGCCTTGACTCAGCAGGCTGGTTTCACATCAGTACAACTGCAATTAATTTAGCATGAAGAGGGGAATCCTACCTGTGAGTGTAAGGAAACACGGGCATGTTTAAAATACATTGGGTGACACCTCGCCACGAGGTAAAGCTTATTCAGTAAATCTGCTTAAGACAAATTTGTGCAAGGCTGCCTCTCAAAATGGGTATGTCAGGTGCTTTCCTTCTCGTGGTAAATGTTGGACTTACTAGGAAGGAGCTGTGGGCTGGGTGTCTTCTGTTCATGTCACAAAATCACCCTCGTGGAAGCCAGACCCCCGTTCACACTGGAAGATGAACATGTGTTCTAATAATTTGCATGGCCTCTCTTTTCAGGACTGTGGGATGGAACTGAACGATGAAGACGGGCATCGCTGTTACCCACTAGATGAACATTTGCTTTGTCACTCCTGTCATCTGAAACACATAGAGAACGGCACAACCCCAGCAGCTGTGTACCAGCACCACTACTAGTCAGCGTGACCTGTAACGGGAAAGCTGGGACAGAAGACTTGTTACATCATCTCCCTCTCCCCACCCTCAGTTGATTTCCTGTGCATGTTTTTTGCCAGTCGGCAATGTTCCTGTAAAAGGATATGAGAGATTTTTGCTGGATTCCCAGAGTTTGTATGCTTGTGAGTTCCAGCTGTATCAAACCATGTCTCCCTGACCAAGAATGTGGCATGTTATCTAAAGTGATCGGTTTACTTTTACGTGCCTTTTTCTGCTCTCTGGAGATTCATCTTCGCTCATTTTGGAAGGATTCTTCAGGGAAAGCACAATTTGCTGTCATGCCTATGAACTCAGATCGTGCCGTGCACAATTAAAAAGCCAGAGGCTGGCTTGCCTGCCTGCCTGCCGGGGACATCCCGGCAGCCTACTAAGTGTTTCCTGACAAGCACATTTCATCAGATTCCCTGAAGGACATCAACCTATTAATACCAGTTTTTTAGACACTCTCTCTTTTTATTAATTCTTTAGGAAAAGAAAAGAAAGGGGTCAGTGCAAAATGGCGCACTCAGACCTTCCAGTTAATTCCCTGAACTCCGGTATCAAGTCTGGCTGTAATCGCACCAACTCTCCAAGCCCAAACCAGGCGTGCTGGCTGGCAGCTGGAGGCTGACATCCCGTTTCAAACAGAACAAAAAACTGGAACAAGCTGGGCTAAACTACCTTGTTGACTTGGGGCCTGGGCTTGCGTACCAGCGTGATACACCGTGGCCAGACTGCTGTGTCAGAGTCTGAATAGCGGATTATATTTGGAAAAGAAAGGTCGGGATGCTGAAAGTGTGGACATGGGGAAATCAGCCTCGTTCTTGCTTGCAGAGCTCGCTTTTGGAAAAAAGCTCTCTGTACACAAACACTTGCCTGAGTTTTCCAGCTCGTCCCCACAGCTCAGCCCCCAGCCTGGCTACTCCTTTCTGTGGTGTTTACCCAGCACAAAGCCATTTCATAATGGTGCTTATTTAGAGCTCTGGGAACAAACTTGTTATCGTTATGAAGTCTTTGTTACACAGGGATTTAGAGCTCGGCTCCACAACCTGTACTCACATGAGTATGTTGGTATAAACAGATTTGCTCCCATGGATAATAACAGCTTATCTGAGAAAGGGGTTACTGAGTTTGGCCCTTGCTTTCTGTTCTGCTGAGAAAGCAGGAAGGCAGATTGTTTCTCTTTTTGAACCCCCCTGCTTTATAGTCGAAGAAATCTGCTCCCCCAGTATGTGTTACATATAAGATAGATGTGCCTGCAGTGCATGTTCTGTAGGTACCAAAGCTGTGCAGCCCCTCATGTACAGGTACAAAGTTTTTGTTTAAGAAAATGCTTTTAATTTAAAGTCTCAGATGCAATCAGGGATCTTAGCTACCCTTTCTGACATACTGTATGGAAAACTAGTTGAATCTTTGTGTATCCGTGCGAAATATGTAAATTCATTTCTGATTGATAGGGGACAGGATGACATTCTTGAAGATCTTTTTAGTGAGAAAACGATGATAAATTAGCTCAGCAGCGGCACCGGGAGTCCTGACGTGAGCCTGTGCCAAGAACCCACTATTATTCAACCAAACCTCTTTTCCCATAGCACGGAGGTAGCTAGATAGGTGCTTGGGCTTCACACCATGTCGTCAGACTGCCTCGTGTACCCATCTGGAGCAATACAGGTGCTAGGTGCAGCCAGCTGCCTGTCTCTGCCTGTGCTAATAAATACCACGGGCCTCCGTTTTGAGTGGTGCAAGTTGCTGTGCCAAATATTAAGCAGAGGCACAAGCATCTGCTGTGAAACAGATGGTGAGCAGTGGCCTGTTAGCACCCTCCCACGCATCTGTATGGGCTTGCCTTGTCTGAAACGTGAACGTCTGAAACTGCTTGGGGAGCTTGGTGGTTTTGGCGTGAAGTTGCATCGGGCCGGCAGACCATCCCGCCTTCTGCCCCATCCAGCCGTAAGTGCATCCGTCTGTTGCTGCTGCTCTTCGGGATGGGGATGGTGGCACATGGCTGGAGGTCAGTCCCGCACTGGAAACCATCCCGAGCCCCAGTTTTGGTGTAGCTTGGCTCTGCCACACCATTTCTGCTGGGGACATGCAACCCCACAGTGAGTGGCTGAAAGCTCAAGGAGGGGGACTTTCCCACTGCAGTATACATGGCATATATATCTTCGGAGAGTTTTACCTGTGATTTTAGAGGAGGTAAAATTGACCCCAAATACATGATCTCCCTGGAGCCTTAAATTTGGCCTCCAAATGCTGGATAGCGAAGGGATGGGAACCGACACTTCTTCACGGCTTCATGAACACGACTTCAAAAGAAGATTGAGGGGGGATCTTATTAATACTTACAAATACTTAAAGGCAGGGTGCCAGGTGGATGGGAGCAGTCTTTTTTCAGTGGTGCCCATTGATAGGATGAGGGGTAATGGGCATAAACTTGAACATAGGAAGTTCCATCTTAACATGAGAAGGAACTTCTTTACTTTGAGGGTAGTGGAGCACTGGCACAGGCTGCCCAGAGAGGTGGTGGAGTCTCCCACTCTGGAGACATTCAAAACCCGCCTGGACGCTGTCCTGTGCAACCTGTTGTAGGTGACCCTGCTCTGGCAGGGGGGTTGGACTAGATGATCTCCAGAGGTCCCTTTCAACCCTGACCATTCTGTGATTCTGTGATTCTCTGACACAAAGTATGTAACTGGTGCTGTGTCCAGGCAATATGGGTTGGGGGCAACAAAACACCCAGGGCAGATCCTGCAGTGCTGTCACCCCAGTGTGCCATGTCAGCTTGGCACACAGCTGAGCATGGTGGAGGGATGTCTCAAGATGCTACTGTGATCTTAGGACTGTCTGAAGGAACAGAGGTGGGAAATAATGCCAGCTGAGCGTCCCTGGTAAATAATTTAGATAGTCCTGGGCAAGTGGTTCCCCTCCCTGAGCTTTCTTTGGCAGGGAAGGCAGTGAGATATCAAAGGGGCTTCTGGAAGTGAGCTGTAAACACCGATCCTGATCTGTTTTTCTGTCTCTGAGGGACCAGCTACTGCGTGGCTCATGCTTTTGCTAGCTCTTGATTTTTAGAGCAGCCCCTCATGCACATTTTCTGGCCTCTGTTTTGGGAAATGATCTGAAAACTCTAATGGGGCTGATATTTTCTTTTTGAGATGCGGTGTTAGCTTCTGTCTCGCTCTTTCGGCCTTCCCCACAACCCCAAAATAAGCAGGCAAGAAGGGGAGGGGGAAAAGGTCAATTTTCCTTGGTGGAAAGCCACGAGCAGTCCGTTTGCAGCAAGCTGTCCTGCAGGAGCCTGCTTTCCATCAATGGAAAGTTTGGCCTCGGGTCCCACAGGGTGTCTTGTTACTCCTGTCAGCCATCCCGTATCCCTCAGCACTGGGGAAATGAAGGCTGCCCTACTTTTCAGTTTTGAGGTCCCGTGTAAATTATTAAGTGCCAATGCTCTCCTTTCCTGTATTCACGAAGAGCTGGAAGTGACAATGTGAAGCTGTTGAAAATGAAACGTGTGAGTTTGTGGTTCTGAAGCTAAAGCATCTGCTGCATTGCCCTGCTCCCTTACGTGTCCTGACTTGCGCTGCTTTTATCTTTGGGAGTTTGAATTCATTTAAGCTCATTATTATTTCTCCTAGCTTGTGGGCGTCTGAGTCCCCGGTGATTGTCCCTGGCTTGTTCCCAGCTCTGCGGCTGCCTGACGGTGGGTCCGGGACAAAGGGGAGGCAGGGGCATCCTGCACCGGGGAGGCTTCTGCTCCTCCTGGACCACCACCAGGCATCTGTGGAGCTGCAAGCCCTCACTGCCTGCCTTCAGGCAGCTCCCCCAGAGGGAAAAAGCGGGCAGGCAGGTAGCTCTGGAGCTGGAGGTGCGAGGCTTCGCAGAAGAATTTCAGAAAACATGTTAAATTCTGCCCGTCACCTGGCTGATACGAACTGGGTTTTGCTGTTCACGTGAACCTTGCTGGTTTTTTATTTATTAAGATGCTGAAAAGTGTTATGAAAAGTTAGTCCTAATTCCTCCCCCTCAGCGTGTTTTTCTGACTGGTTTTAGGGTAAGGGACCCTTGGAAGTCCCATTGTGCTGGTAATGAGTAACTCACATGCAAATAGTTATTCAAGTGAATTCCCTGAAACTTGCTTTCAGGAGCCAGAGCTTAATAGATTTTTTCATTCAGATCATGCTTTTAGATTTCTATTGTTTAGAATACGGAAACTCATTTAAATAGAGATTTTTGCATAAAAGCCAGGGGGAAAGCCCCAGCTATAGAAGAAGCAGACATTTTTATATAATTTAAAGTGTAAGAAACAGCTGTGATCAAAGTGATTTAGGAAACTGCCCTGATGTTAAAACAGGGAACAGCATTTTTGAACACCCTGGTGAGGAGCGTTTGATGAGGTCTGTGGCTCTTCAGTCTCTGCATTTCATTTGGGGGTTTTTAAAATGTATTCCCAGTCTTTCAGGTTTAAATGATTTTTTTTTTTTTTTTAAGATCTTTTTACAACAAAGTGAATAGCTCCTTGGTCTTGAAATGGTGGATTCTTATCAGCATCATGTGTGCTGTGGCAGATGTGAAAGGGGGAAATTTGGCTCGTAAGAGCTGGTATGGGTCTAGCTGGCCGTTCAAAAGGGAGGGGTATCTTTGGCTGCCAAGAGAAGAAAGTAAATATCTTCCTGTGCTTGCTTCTTGTGCTGGTTTTTAGCACTGGGCAAATATTTGGCATCCTGGAATTTCAGTATTTGGGTCTGTTCTTAAGCACTGCTGTGACCTCCTCCTCTCCCTCTCGTGAGTTCACAGCCCTGGGGAGAATTGCAGGCACACACTTCCTAGTGAATTTAGTCCCTGTTTTGCACTTCTCTAGAAATTTTACCACTTTATTATTTCAGTAACAGCAAAACCATGTCCTTGCTTAAAGGAAAATGGACACACACTCTCCATCCTCACTTGAACGCTTTGACCTGATCCTCTGAATTACCTGAATATCAGCCTGGTGCTGGGTCGATGCGGCGGCAGCTTTGTACTCTGCTGCTGTTGCTAAGAAAATTGCATGAAGGACTCCGTCTGCATTAAACTTGAAGTGCACGGGCAGGCAGTCCCACTGAAACCAATAAGGCTGCGCACATACGTGAAAATCGATGTGTGTGCGTAAGTCAGTGTTGGATCAAGGGCAGAGTGATTTTATTACGGACAAGGCATACCTGAGGATGAATCTGCGGCAGTGTGAAAAGTTGCCTTGAAATGATCACTAAAATGGACTTTTTGGTTCAATAAACATAAATACGTACTGAAGCAGTGAGGGTGCATGGAGAAAGGAGGGTGTGACTTAAAATACAGTAGCTGTTGGGAAAAGAGGATAGGTGATTACGGAGAGCAGGGGAGAAGGTGGTATGGAGGGCATTCACTTTTGTTTGTTGTATTCCTGTGCATTTATTGCAGGGAGGTTCGAGGGGAAACGCGCTTGCGTAGGCTGCTCTGGACTGTGCTTCTCCCGTGTCAGCCAT